TAAAAAATAACAAAACACACAATACATCTAAATCAAAAAACAAAAATAAACAAACAATTAAAAAACAAGTCTAATATTCCCAAATCCTTAACTTTCATTAACTTATTTCAACGACCTCCTCACACCTCCCTTTTTTTGTATTCTAGTTGTTAATTATCTCAGCAAATCCTTTCCATCTTTCACAATATTCTATCATTTAAATTACCTTAATCTATTTTAACCTTATCTTACCTAAAAGCCCTAAAACTTAAAACTTATATATACCAAATTCTTTTAACCATAACATATTCTTTCATAATTCTTTTTGACATTTCTGCTAGAGCCAAATAATTTCATTCCTACATTTTTCTAATACTCATTAATTTTACAATACTTTTCTAAATAAATTTTGAAACTTTCTTCCAATCTTCATCCATCGTCTCTTCTTCCTGGTCTCGGGTTTTGTCAGTCCTTTCTCGTCTATCTAATCCATCAACCTGGTGCTCTTATGTCCGAGGCTCTTAAATCTTTTCCATGTCCCTTCTGCAGGTCTTCTTCTTGTTTATACCTGCCCTTTACTTTATCTTTTGTTGATCTTTTTCTTGTTTTCTTTCCTTTCTCATTGGGGGGTAGGTCTCGGGAGGACTCCAATCCAAAAGTATCTCCATCTCTCCTCAGTAGATCTGCCCATTCCCCACAGTCCCATTCCCCATAGTCAACACTGTAATCCAGAAAGTGTTTAAAAGCATGTTTCAAAGTCTTTCCAAAATTAAGAGCCCTCACAACTCCAGACCCCCCCCCCCCCGGTCCACTCCAGATTCGAAATTCAAGAACAGCAGCTTATACTCCTGCAAGGCCTCAGGTCTCTCCATTTGTGTTATTTGAGGTTCAACAACAACCTCCTCCATTTTCTTCTGCCCTTGTGCTTGCCCTATCAAAACAAATTCCTGGGCTGGTTCCTGAATGGTTTCTATATGGGTATTCGCCGTTTGTCCAAAGTTTTTAACTGTGACAGTCATCATATCCATCTTCTCATGCATCTGCTCCAGCAAAGCACTTGTCTTGCAAAGAGCAAGCACCAAGACTTCTTGTAAACACATTTTTCCCCAAGGTTAGAGTCTGGTCTCACGATCCTAATCATACAGCTGTGAGGTCCCCAGATCAGCTCCGCCAACAAATTAACAAGCTCCCTCTAAAGGAGACAATTTCTATTTGTATCCATCTTTTAAAAGCAGGACCAACAAGGAAAATTACTTTCACTTTTCAAATACTTTGTTTCTTTTGATTGCAAGAAGCAACATTGGAATCAGTATATTTCTCTCTCTCTCTTTTGTTTTTTACTATCTGTCAAAAGACGTTCCGTTCACAGTCGATGAACTTTCCCCATAAATTTCTGTCTCTGACACCCCGTTCCCAGGTTTGAGACGGTGGAAAATTTTTCTTTCTTTACTCTCTCTCCTGCAGGCTTAAACAGTCAAAAATCCCCCTCTTTTCTCCTGCTTCCAAGAGGGGTTTTGGTGGTGATGAATGAAGGAAATTTAGAACTTTATGTACGACTTTCCAGACTTTAGCTTACAAAATTTTTGCTTCCATCTATTTACAAAAAACGGGAGGCGGACTTCCTGTTTAGAACCTTCCCGTTTCGGTGCCAAATTAAAATATTTCTTAATACTTAATCCAATTTTCCGTTCTACTCACGGGTACTTGTTTAGAGTCCAATTGTCCACAGGAAAAGTCAGCGCTCTCCGTCAACGGCTGTGCGGCTTCACTCCGTAAAAGTAGCGGTTGATTCAAAACACCGCGCCACTCACCCCACGTCGCTTCGGATCCCCGAAAAAGGGTTTCCCTGCGAGTAGGGGAGGCGCTCCTGGTGTCAGCCGAATCCCACATTCCCAGACTTCCTCCGCCTGGGATTTTTAAAGGGTCTCCGCCTTCGCCGCGGTGGCAAGACCCGATTTTCACGGAGCGGGTTCCTCTCTGTCAGAGGAACTCCACCATTGCCAATGGCGCTGTCCCGGAAGTCCCAGAAGCGGCATTGTCATGCTGGCCACATGACCCGGAAGCTGTCTGCGGACAAACGCCAGCTCCCTCGGCCTATAGAGCAAGATGAGTGCCGCAACCCCAGAGTCGTCCACGACTGGACCTAATGGTCAGGGGTCACTTTACCTTTACCTACCATGATAATACCTGACACATGTTTAAAAAACAAGGGTGTGGAACCTTTGTCCTTCCATATGTTGCCAAACTACAATGCCCATCAGACCTAGCATACATGGCCTATGGTCAGGGATGATGGGGGTTGTGGTTCAGAGATCTCTAGAGGGGCAAAGATGCCTCACACCTGGTTAAAAACCACAGAGGCAGCCAATGTATTTCTCCCCATTGTTTCCTTCCTTGGACAGGAACATTTGCATTTTGTCTGAAGTTTGCTTTGGGTAACAACCTTTGGTGACAACCCAGGAGGACATGAAAAACCACTATCACAACCCACCCAAAAGTGAATTAGTTTCAGTGTGGTTGGGTTGCTGTTTAATAAAGCTTTCACTGAAAATCTGAAAAGTTTGTTTGGGAATCATGGTAGGACTCAGCAGAGGCCACACTGGATTCATGTACCAGGATTCCCACACAGGCTTTTGACATAGGGAAGGTGATATTCCTCTTCTAGCTCAGCTTGCTTGCACCTCTGCTAAACTCTAAAAGAGAGGTGGCTACCCTGGGATCCTCCATGTGTCATTGGACACCAGCTCCCATCAGCCCTAGCTAGCACATCCTATGCTCAGGGCTGATGGAAACTGGAATCTCACAACAAATGGGGTGGCATAGTTGGTTGTTGTTGTTGTTTAGTCATTTCTCTTCGTGACACCATGGACCAGAGCACGCCAGGCACTCCTGTCTTCCACTGCCTCCCGCAGTTTGGTCAAACTCATGTTACTAGCTTCGAGAATATTGTTCAATCATCTCGTCCTCTGTCGTCCCCTTCTCCTTATGCCCTCAATATTTCCCAACATCAGGGTCTTTTCCAGGGAGTCTTCTCTTCTCATGAGGTGGCCAAAGTATTGGATCCTTCATGGATCACTGTCTTTTCATGGCGAAGGGGGCTGAATAACTCAGAGAAGCTATGAGCTATGCTGTGCAGAACCACCCAAGATGGACAGGTCATAGTGGAGAGTTTTGACTAAACATGATCCACCTGGAGCAGGAACCGGCAAGCCACTCCAGTATCCCTGCCAAGAAAACTCCATGCACAAAAACAACTGGCATAGTTTAGCCACCTCTAAAGGAATTCTCCATGGCCTGGCTGCTCCAGTGCTTAAATGTTATGTCAATGCTTTCTTCCTCTTCCACTAGTGCCCAGTTCCTGCCCTGTCTCCCAAACCTTCTCAGACGGGCATATCTGGCAAGACAATTGACTTGCTTTGCTTTACCTGTCTCAAACAAGAACCCTGGTTTGGCTCTGCACTGACGAATGGGGGTCCCAAAGATGGCACCTGTGGATCAAAGGTTACACATGTAATACATGTGCATCAGGGCAGCTGCAAGTTATTCTGCCCTCCTTCATAGTGACCTAGTGAGAGGTCAGCCATGCAAATGATTCAAGCATCCCCTTCAGTTGCCACCCCAGTGGTGGTAGTAAATGAAGGGAAGAAAAAAGAGAGAGAAGGAAAGGAAGGTTTTATTCATTGTAAGAAACACAGGGGGGTTGTTTTGCTTGATGAGTGAAGCTTAAGTCAAAACAGCTAGCATAATGCCATTTGCCAGCTGGCCCACAATTGCTCGTTTAACAACTGTCTTAATTCAAGATGTGAATTGAAATGACTATTTTAAATACACAGCTGGGAGATTACTGGTGTGTGTTGTTTCTCAATCCAATATCATTTGGATTAAGCAATCGTTTCTCCCTATATCATCTGATCACTAGCAGACATCTCTATGCTGGTCAATGAAGGGAACAGATTCTGAGTGCTGTTCTTTGGATTCTCGGCTGTTGTTTTTCACTGCTGTTTTTCAGCTTTGCAATTGGTTGGTGTTAATGGTCGTATCATTGTTGCTTTTATGTTCGCTTCTATATTTGTAACCTTATTTGAGCAGCTCATTTGTGGAAGGGGAAAGTATTGCATAGTTTTTTTAAAAACAAACAAACCAGAGTTTCTCGAAACTCTGATGTGGTTAAACTCTTAATTATGACCTCAGTCAGCAGTTGGGCTCTGAACTGGCCAGTTCTGGCATAAAGTGTGTGAGTTGGCTTATTGCCCTTACCTGATCAGTTGAGTGGTAGCTTTCTGCCAGCAATGCATCAAGTCACAGCAAACACCTACAACTCTCGCCAGGCCATGGCAAGTATTTATGTGTACAAAAGATGCATTAATGAATGTTGCATCATTTTACTGCTTTTGCATATTAAAAGCAAAATGAGCCATGATAAATCACCCGAGGCTATTTCATTTTTCTAGCTGTTTTTATTAGATTTTGTACATCACCTTGGGACATTTTTTTTGTTTGTTTACCTAAATTTATATACAACTAACTAGACCAAAAGACCTCCATGTGATTTGCAGTAGACAGTCTTATTAAAAGTACCAATTAAAAATAGACATGAAAAACAACTTACATGAGATTTTTTGAAAAGAAATAAAATAAAACCTAACACTTATCAAACATATAATTCATTTTATGCATGGAAACATGGACAGAGCATGATTTAGAACATATACATAATTCTGAACATAAGACATAAGTAATTTTAAAGTATTTATACTTACTAATAAGATGGACCACAATTACAGGCTTGCTTATATAAGGTATCAATTAAAAAAACCAAAGTAGCATAGCAGATAAAATCAAATCAAAATGCAGGATTAAAAATTGACGTACAACAACTAACAATAAGGTTTGAAAAAGCAGTAAGCACTATAAGAAGACTTGCTATCTCCAACAATGCGGTTATGCAGTGTGTCCAGCTGCCCTACAAGCAAAGTTTATGTTTTTGTTTTCTTAAAGGAAGGAAAATAAGCAGGGTGCAAGGCTGGATAGCTCAGTTGGGTACAGCATGGTGCTGATAACACCATGGTTGCAGGTGTGATCCCCGTATGGGACAGCTGCATGTTCCTGCATTGCAGGGGGTTGGACTAGATGGACCTCAGGGTTCCTTCCAGCTTGACAATTCTCTGATTCTAACCCTGCTAACAATGCTCCCAAGTCACTCTTTGGATAAGGCTGCACATTGCAGGACTAATGTCAATGGAACCATCAGTAGGGAAAGGGAAAGAGTCCAGTGTAAAAAGCAAGGTGAACCAAATTTGTTGCACAAGCCATCTGTTACAGAGCATTGCTAAGGGCAAAGAAATGTGTGGCTGTTATTTCTAAGATACCTTGGCATGGTAGTATATGAAAACCTTGTTTCTGGCTCTTAGAGTAAATGGAAATCTGTTAGGAAGCACCAGAAACATATCCTGTTGAGTGCATAATCCACTGGGTTATTGATTGAAGGAGAAACTAATGGCCAGAGAATAAGAATCCAGAGATTGCCTTGCTGGGACTTACTGATAGACCTCCACTGAGACATCTATTAAAGAGATATTTGTCAGTACCGGTGATACTGATTTGATCTTTCCGATGACAATGCTAGCTGCCTTTTCTCCTGCAGCAAAGGGGTGCAGAATTGCTGGTTTGGCTTTTTGTGTCCTTCCTCAAGGAAATTGCCTTGGGGGGAGGGGGGTCAAAAGAATTCACCTTGGTTCTTTGCAGAAGGGCCTGACAGGAGGCACAAAAGGTGTTCAGCTTCTTGAATAGTTTCCAAGATCCCCACCGCTCTGTATTTGTTTACAACGTTTGGATCCTTTCTGACGCCCTTCACAATAGCTAGCACAACTTTACCCACAGATTGAAACATGAACTGGTAGCTACATGGGAGTCACTCTTGCACATGCCCCTAGACCTGTGGCAGCCATACTCTGTCATGTGAGGAGAGTACCTGAAAATTTGCCCCAAGGTGATTCCACATTGGAGAGAGAGAGAGAGGGTGCATTGGTAGCCCTTTCTATATTTGACACTGCACAATGAATTGGGATGTGTGTATGCCTGCAAAATATCAGACATGCTCTCCCCTGTAAGGCTACTTCTGCCCCTGACTGACAGACACAGCACCCCATTTCAGTTACAATTCCCAATTTCTGTTGGCTGGAGTGGGCCAAACTACACATTATCATAGCTGTCAACTTTCAGATTTGAAAATAAGGGATCAGCAGCCTCACCTATCCCGGGGACAGTCTACGGGATATCTAACAATCCGGGATAGCAGCAGGAAGCAGCGGGAAACGGCGCTGGAATAAGGGAATTTTCCACAAAAAAAGGGAAGGTTGACAGCTATGCGCATTATGCATCCATAAAAGTAAAGGGCAAAGGGACCCCTGACAATTACGTCCAGAAGTTTCTACACTTGTGCCCCAGATTCATCTTGTCTCCTATAGAATCTGTATACACTGGTTGAGGACGTTTGATACCTTTAAAAAAATATCATGAGTTTTCTTACTTAATCATTTGTTGGGATCAACCATTTCCACACAACTTGATGCCAAGTTTCTTGTTTTCCTCAGTTCATCATGTTGCAAATGTTATTATGGATTGTATTCTAGGAATTGTTCTCCACTTTTCTGCCAGGGTTCAGTATCTGCATCCAAGACTGTGATTTGTGGTCTTTCACAGCAAGCTATTACAGATTGTGGTCGGGACACATAAACACTGGCAGTATTTGTCGTGCATAACTGCCTGTTACTAAAGGGCTGTTAAGCAACAAACAAAAATCTGAAAGTCGAGGCTAGAGAGAGAGAGAAACATTGTGGAAGCAGCAAAAGTTGGAAATAAGAAACCAATCAATTGTTGTTAGAAACATTTCTGATGTTCAAGAGCTTGACAAAGAATGAAAGTTCTTGACAATTGCTTATGTGCAGCTCATATTGTCTCCAATATTTTTGAAGTACGGTGGTTCCTCAGGTTACAGACACTTCAGGTTACAGACACTTCAGGTTACAGACTCCGCTAACCCAGAAATAGTACCTTGGGTTAAGAACTTTACCTCAGGATGAGAACAGAAATTGTGTGCCGGCAGCAGTGGGAGGCCCCATTAGCTAAAGTGGTACCTCAGGTTAAGAACAGTTTCAGGTTAAGAACGGACCTCCAGAACGAATTAATTTCTTAACCAGAGGTACCACTGTACTGAAAAATTGCAGTCTTTGGCACTATTGGATCTGGTTTGGATGGTTAAACTTTAAGCTTTGGGCTGGTCATTCTGGAGGTGTTTTTTTACATAATGGAACACTGTCTGGAGATTCACTCCCAATCCATGTAGACCAGGGGTGGGGAACAATTTTCAGCCCAAGAGCCACATTCTCTCATAGGAAACCTTCCAAGGGCCATATACCAGTGGTGGGCAAAAAGTGAGTGGAACAAGAGAAGTCACTCTTGCCTTTGTGCAGTAGGCTCCACTGCAGCCATGCACAAATCCAGAAGTTTCTATGCACACGTCCAGGCAAGTAAGAGACATTACCACAGTTCAAATATACATCCCAGGCAGGCAAAAATGGCCAAACATTACACAGAGGGGTGGGGAAATATGGTCAGTAAGAGGTGTGGCATGGGAAGGGCTGTGTCCTGGGGAGAGTCCCAAGGGCTTGGACTTTTAGGCTTAAGGTTCCCCATTCCTGGTGTGGACAATATTGAGCTAGATGAACCAGTGGTTTGCCTAAGTATAAGGCAGACTCTCATGCTCCTATGTTTCTTGGGCGGGCAGTTGGCAGAGTCTTCACGCTATGGCAGTTTGCACACGTTTCGGGCTATCAATTGAGAAGTGCGATTTTGTGTACGTTCACTGGGACTGTTGCAATAGTCCGGATGTCACCCAACTATAGTCCTCGTCTGCAACCAAAACAAAGTGTCTCAGATTCATCCCATATCACCCTTGCCTCTTCTATCCCACCCTGCATTCTCTTGTTTCCTTCCCTTGCCTCATCATTCATATCAGGCCCTCTGGGACCCGCTCCCAATGTTCAAATTGAGAGCCGATCTAGAAAAGACTGGGGAATCCATGGTCAGACCTCCCATCATCCCATTCCAATATTAAAAGCAGCCCCATGCAGAAATGGGCGTTCCCCTTGCACTGAGTGTGGAGAGGTTAACCATCCTTCCAAGACACTCCCACAGTTGAAATTATTTCTTGCCCACCCACAGCTGCTTTTAGTTATGGGGATACACATTTTGCAATCAGTTTTTAACCCAGCCACCCAGGCTATCAGCAGCTTTAATGGAAAGAATTTATTATTGTTGTTGTTGATGTTGTTGTTAGGGAACGCATTGAAAGAAAGGACCATCGTTTCCTTTAGTGTCACATCCCATTCAGTTTGGACTTTCCCACTCCCTTCTTTCTACTTTTACCCATCTTCAGATCTCTTTTGTGTAGATTATAAACTAATTCAGATTGTAAACTACTTGGCGGTAAACCACCAGGTACTTTGACAAAGACATTAACAACAATCATTATTAATATACTTCTTAGCGACTCCGCGTTTTGAGGATATACAACCCCGTTTTGCATATTGTAAAAGAGAGTGAGCTCCTTTTATAGGACGCCTTGTTTTTCAATGGCTGCGCATCACCACATCTGCTGCATCCCTCCACTACATTTAACGCTGGTCCAGGGAGCCCTTAATCTGGTATGGATGTCAGCTGAAATCCCTCTCAATGTTACATGCTACAGCTGCCCTAATCCTCTAGCAGATGGTAAACGTTTGTGCTGCCGTGAAGGAGCTTCTGAAAATACGGAGGCTGAGGCTTAAAGCTGTCTTCCGTGGGGTCCAATTTACACTGATACAAAGACCCTGCCATCAATAAAAGGAAAGCACTGATTTGTCCAACCGTTGCTGTTGTTTTACCTGGGAGTGGTTCATGTACACAGTTATATTTTTTAGTGACAGTTACTATGCAATTGTGTTTTGGACTGGGTAATAATATCTGTTAGTTGACATGCAATGACTGTTAAAATTTGACAATATTTGATGGCAGTCTTCCAGTTTATCGCCCCCCCCCCCCCCCGTTAGACCCAGCCAAAATAAAATATGACCAAGAGATGCCAACATGTCGAAATGACCTGAAATATGACATAATAAAATGTCACACCCAAGATGTTCAATTCAAAAATAACCCACATCAAAATATGAAATATGGAAATTCAAATTGGCAATTTTTTTCAAAGTAAAAATGTGCTGTGTTTGAGGGAATACTGTGGGCCACTATCATGGTTTGATGCAGGCTAGCAGCTCTCAGAAACTTTGGCAATGGAGAGGAATAACACACTAGTCCTCATTGATGCATAGGGGCTGGAGTCCACCATGCAACAATTTTCTGCAAAATAATAGCACATAATGCCATGAGTAAAAATGCAACTTTTGTATTTCTTGCAAAGGGAAATTACCTTTCTTTTGTAAAAATAATTTCCTCTTGCTGATGTTAGGAAAACAAAATATGTTTTTTGTGTGTGTGAATTGTATTTATTTTAGATCCACTGATTCAGAGTTATTTCCCCCCTCTCCTCTCTGTCTCTGTCTCCCTCTCCCTATCTTTCTCTTTATTTAGGAAAAGAAGAATACATCGCGACATTCAAAGGGTCAGAGTATTTCTGCTACGACTTGTCCCAGAATCCTATCCAGAGCAGCAGTGACGAAATAACTCTGTCCTTTAAAACCCTTCAGAGGAATGGACTGATGCTTCACACTGGAAAATCGGCCGATTATGTCAACCTTGCCCTGAAAAACGGAGCGGTCTCCTTGGTTATTAATTTGGGCTCAGGGGCCTTTGAAGCGCTAGTGGAACCTGTGAATGGGAAATTTAATGACAATGCCTGGCATGATGTCAAAGTAACCAGAAATCTGCGTCAGGTAACAGTAGAATGGATACAGCAATAACTGACTTTGCTTTTGCCACAGCTAAGTGTTTGGTGATCTTGCAGTTAGTACAACATGCCATTGAGTGTTTAGCTGACCTCTGAAATGTAGATTTCAACGTGTTACCAAGAGATGGGTCAATTAAACCACACATGAGCACAGG